TTAAAATATAATGTGATCATCATATCGGAATTTATCGATCGTCATAATTATTCACGTTATGGATTTATTACCTAACTGAATGGGTAATGATTGATATGCCAAGAGCCAACGTTAAGTGAAAGTACTATTGCAGAAGTATTGAATTATATTTATTTATATAAAGTCAACGGATCTTAGCCCTTTAACAAAGAAAAAAAAACAATATATATGAATTGGCACAATATGAAAACTAATAGACAACGACAAGTGATAGTAATAAAAATAAAAATAACAGGAAATACAAAGTCAAATTTTTGTCTATAAAACAAAACTAAAAATAAATTATTAGGAACTACCTATGTCTAAAAAGTAACAAAGTTTTAGTTTTAAACTTGACGAGACAAAGCAAAAAAATCTAAGACTGTAAATATAAATTKAACAATTTGAATAATTATTTATTGAAAAATATCGTAACAGTACATTTATTTATTTATTTGCATTTGTACATTGCTTAGTATTTTTATAATATGCTTTATATTAGTGGATTTTGTATTGGMAATAGTGTTATTATATTTATGTAATATTAATTAAATCATCTGTAAATTCATTAATTTTAATTTTTAATTTTTTGTCTTAGGGTGGATACATCTTAGATTCTTTACATAGGTACCTCCAAATAGTCTTCGCGATCCGCTGTGGCTTCTAAGTATAGGTAGGTATTTATGTACTTTTTTATTTTTACTATTTGTAGATTTACGTGTTATTCTATAACTCGCWAACAGAACCACATCGGGTGCCTTTATAGAGATAAATATGTATGTCAATAATATTATATTACAAGTTATGCGGTCCCTATTATTAGTAAAATTTTGTACTGCGCACTTAATTTTATTGTTTTAAACGATTAGTAAACGATGTATTACATATTTACATGTATAATATACATACTCGTATATATAAATAAATACAATAATTTAACATCGTAATATTGTAATTGAATAAAACAACAAAATGCAGGAAATACTCGTATTTTCTATTGGCTGGAATGTTATTTAAATTCTGTTTTGTAGACCGTGGTAGTGCACGCTTGAACATTCGTGGTGCGCATAAACTTAGGGTTTGAATTTTTGATTAATAAGWGTATAGTAAATAATAATATGTCTTAATTCTTGGATGAAATCATAAACGTAATTGAACAATTAAAATTTTGATCTTTTTTGTGATAACTCTATTTCCACAAAATTCAAATTTCACCGGAAATCAGAATCGTTATCAGCAGCGGCTGCGCCACTGATACTGTCGAGGTGTCATCGCACATTCGCACGTCCGGGTGGCCGCCTTCTCCCTCCGACGACGGTGCCGTAATGCTCGTTGTCGTCATGGAACAAAAAGACGACGAACACCGCCCGAGTAGACAGTCGAGCCTGACCGTCGCAATTTTTATCGTGAATCGTGATTCGTACAATTGTACGTACGGTCACCGAACCGTCGCTCTCTTGTTCAGCAAAACATCTGTTCCTTTAACCTCTCACCCATTTTCGTTTTAAAAATACGATCGAGTGATTAACCCTCTCTTGCGGCCAGTCCAGTTGAGGAGAAAATTACTCTCCCGACCATAAACCCTTTGAGAGAGCTCTTTTTTGACCTCATCTCTCACCGACGACCGTTCACCATGGCTCACAGGATATTTCACAAGATCGTAAGTATCCGGTTCGTGACGAAAAACGGATATTTTGCCGATTCCGATCGCCGTCGCATTAGCATAATAATGAATATATATTTTCACTATTAACTCGGGATTTCGTTTGTTGACAGAACAACGTTGGCCAGTACCTAGCTCGTTCATACGGTGTTGATGTACGGAAAGTGACTTTGATCCCCGGTGATGGAATCGGCCCTGAAATCTCTGCCGCTGTTCAGAAGATTTTCGAAGCCGCCAAAGTAAGTAGTCGCTTGAAGTAGGTAAAGTCAAAGAATTTTAACTAATCGCATCTGTCTTGGTCACGTATTTGTGAGACTAAGTGCCACAGATAAAAAACATGAAATAGTTAAAAGTTATTTCGGTTATTTTTTCAAGACTTTTTAATATAGTGGATTTATTGAATGTGGCCCAGTGGAATTTAATTAATCGTCTGTACTTGTACGGTATTGTTAATCTGTAATCTGTAGCCAACAAGAGACTAAACGTATTTTTTTTTTTTAAATATTTTCTGCACTTGTAATCCAAAGTGAATCTGTTGGTTTAAACCATTTTTAATTTTTTCAATTGAAAAACTGCTGACTGCAGTTTTAATTAAAACGAAATATTTTAATTTTAGACTCCAATTGAATGGGACGTAGTTGATGTTACTCCTGTAAGAGCACCAGATGGTACAATGAAAATACCATCTAAAGCTATTGAATCTGTAAATACAAATAAAATTGGATTAAAAGGACCTCTTATGACACCAGTTGGAAAAGGTCATCGTTCATTGAACTTAGCACTTAGAAAGTAAATTCATTTTTATAATTTACTTGTCATAAAATATAAAAATGTGTTTTGAATATTTCTTAGATTACAACTTATGCTTATTATTTTTCTAGAGAATTCAATTTATACGCCAATGTAAGGCCCTGTCGCTCACTTGAGGGTTATCCTACATTATATGAAAATGTAGATGTTGTAACAATTCGTGAAAATACTGAAGGTGAATATTCAGGCATTGAACACGAAATTGTGGAAGGAGTTGTACAATCTATAAAATTGATCACAGAAGAAGCTTCAACTAGGGTAGCTGAATTTGCTTTTAAATATGCTGTTGAAAATAAACGATCCAAGGTCACTGCTGTACATAAGGCTAACATAATGTATGATGAACTTAATCATTTTTTCAAAGGTGTATGTTTAAATTTATGTGTTTGAAAATATAAAATTTATAGGAGAATGTCTGATGGTTTGTTCTTGAGGTGCTGCCGTATAGCATCTTCAAAGTATCCACAAATCAAATTCGAAGAAAAATATTTAGACACTGTATGTTTGACTATGGTTCAAGATCCAAGCCATTATGATGTTTTGGTAATGCCTAATTTGTATGGTGATATATTGTCAGACATGTGTGCCGGTTTGGTGGGTGGTTTAGGTCTGACACCAAGTGGAAACATTGGCAGCAACGGTGCTCTGTTTGAATCTGTAAGTATTTATTAGTTTATTACTTTGGTTTAAATTTAATAAATTCATTAATTTTTAAATAAATTAAATTTGTTTAGGTTCACGGAACCGCTCCGGATATAGCTGGCAAAGACTTGGCGAATCCTACAGCTCTTCTTTTATCAGCTGTAATGATGTTGCGTCACATGGAACTCAACAGCCAAGCTGACATTATTCAAAAAGCTTGTTTTGACACCATCAAAGAAGGCAAATATAGAACTGGAGATTTGGGCGGAAAAGCCAAGTGCTCAGAATTTACAGATGAAATTTGTCGTAAAGTTCAAGAATCTTCTTAACTTCATGTTAAGTAATAATGGTGATCCATCAATTTGTGTATATTTATTTTGTGAAGAAACTAGGCCTCACAGATTAGCAATAACCCTCTCGAGTTTTTCGTGTTTGTTCCTTTCTATTTAAATATATAAATAATATTTAATTCAGTTATTGTATAATTTGACTAGGATTTTTATGAAAATGATGGATTTTACTAGTACTGAGTCATTATTTCTGTGATAAATATTTAGAAGGAATACCATTCATATAGTTTTGAACAGTCATTTCCCATCAATTAATTTATCACAATTCATTCATTGATTTTCTACATATTGTTTTTAATTATTTTATAATTTCCAATTTCAAAAATATCTATCACTCACGACTTGATGTACTATTAACAATAAATCATTTGATTTACAATTTCATAATTGTCGTTATTATTATTTATTTATTTATTTATTATTGATAGACAAATTATTATCTTTAAAATTGTTACGATATTCGACATAATCTGTGTACTTAATTATAGTGCTGTTTATCATTAAATTAAATACACTTTTCAAACAGTTTACATGATAATATCATATATATATATTATATATGCTCAGGAAATATTGCAATAATTATAAATGTGCATGATTGTTCTTTGTTAATGAGAGTATGAAAGTATTAGATACATGTGCCTAGTCACTAGCCGGTATTATTAAATATTATAATAAAATATAATTTTGTTATTTTACTGAAATCAACTGTGGCTCATTTTGATTGTTATACTAGCATACTTAAAATGTYGTTCTTGATCCTCATACTAATATTATTGTGATTGTCATCTCAATAAATTGTACAAGTATAAAAGATTTATTTATACTCTCACAAGCCGAATGTAGGGGAATTTAAAAATAAGTGTTCTCGCTGATAATATATGATTCCAAATATACCAATCCACTATTGTGTGTATTGTGTTCTAGACAAGACAAATACCATTTGATGATTTTTTTATGGCTGTGCATCGGTATTGCCCTGGATCCTATAACTTGGATATAGCATTTATTTAATGATTGAAAATAAAGTACAAAATAATTTCTATCAATATATATATAAATGGTATTTTCAAGTAAATTTATTTCTAAAACCAATTAAAATTACTTAATATGCTGAAGAAACATACCATATTATACAACAATAAAAGTAAAAATGTTTGGAAAAATATAGGTAAGTATATAATTATAGTCAAAGTTTACAATTGTTGCTAAAATGTTGCCAAGACTAAATTACAATATTCATATCACAATTTAACATAAACATTTAGCATTTTCACATATTTCACTTTCAAATAAATACATCGGATCATTACGATGAAATAAGAGTAAAAAAAATAGTAACAATGAACAGCACATGAATTAACAATTATAATATACCAGGTTTATGGGACATTTAAAATTGTGTGCAGACATAGATTATTAATCTTATACTACACACGTAACATTGAACAAAATATAATAATATTAATACATAGTTCAAAAATATATTATGAAATTAAATATTGGTGTTATTTTTTCAACTTGCCAAAAATAAATAAAGTTATTCGGAAATAATTTATTAACATTTATATAATCATAAAATATTACATTTTATCGTCAATCGATTTTGAACTGTTAGGTATCAGTTTATTCGCCTGCATCGCTTATTGCAATATAACTCTCGTGACCGTCAATAGGACGAGGAGATTCGCAAATTAAACTTTGAACTATCCATAAAGTTGATAACTTGGGAATTTTTTCATTCATGATTGAACTAGGACATTGGTCGTCAGTTATAATGACGGTCATGTGGCGTATTAATGGCAGGCTTACAGCCCCTAATAAATAAATATTCATATAGTTAGATCTATCAATAATATTATTAATATTTATAAGTACAATAGTGTAAAAAAAATAAATCACCAAGTAAAACCTTTTAACACACCTTTTTTTGTGATGGTGTACACTATGGCWCCAGAAAATTTTAACAAACTGGAAAAAAAACTATTCTTGGGTTCGTCTGATAAACATACATAGACAACATAGTCAGAAAATATGTTCGAGTGTACGGTTTTAGGCGAACGGAAGATAACTTCTTTCTTTTCCACAGACCAACCATTTGGTATTGGTTTAATATCGTTCTTTAATATGAACTCGCTGAATGACAATTTCTAAAAATAAAAAAAACAGCATAATCTCAATTCTTAAATATTAATACGTATGAAAGAGTTTACAATATGTAGTATTATAGACTTTTATACAATAGGGTGATCATTTTTATATATATATAAAAAAGGGAGAGTTTTAGGTAGATACTCAAAAATCCAACATTTTTTAAAATTAATATATTAAATTTATTCTTAAATTTAAATAATGTCGAGTAAGCTTAATATTTTAACAAAACACGTCTTATTTGGATTAGTTTTTGTTGAGAGTGTAGAAAAATTGGTGAAAGTATTCTTACTCTTTTTGGATTGATGTTGATTAATTATCATTTTTTAAATTACAATTTATTAGTTTATCACAATTGACAATCTTTCCATGAAAACTGTTATATTTAATAACTTTCAAATTTCAATTTTTAAACTGTAGTTCTATATTATATATTTATTGTTTGGTATTTATTTCTTAGATTATTTTTTTTTCCACACAATAATATCATAATATGGAGATAACAGGATTAAAACGGTACCATATTTTAAAAACCGAACAAAAGCATCTCGTTTGATGTTTATTGAGACAACGGGACATGATGATCAAAAAGGGTACAATCCCGTTTTAGATGGGACGTATGGTCACTCAATTATGAAAAGGCTTGATAAATGATTACACAGTTCTTTTACTGTTAATTTGAAATTTGTATTATTATTTATATATTTTTGGTTTATTAACTTTGTGTGTGTTATACTTACAAATATTTAATTTATGCTAATAATATTTTTAATTTTGTATTTTTTTTAACTTTAAGCAGTATTATTAACCACATTAACTAGTTGTATGGATATGTTATCAAAAATAAAAATGCATTCATATGTTAGAAATTAAAATTGCACATTGMAAAGTATGTATGATTACACGTGTAATCTACCAACCTTATTAGACAAGTCTTAAGAAAAATATTTGTACAGCAATCCTCTTAAACAATTATTTATACTGACATATGAACGAAAAATTGTCTACATAATGCCTGTATTTTAAATATCTACCTTTTTGGGGCACAGAAATTAATATATTTTTTTTAATATAAGATATACACAATCTATATTCTATACTAAATTTGCCACTATATATGTTGAAAGAACAAGAAAAAAAATTGTTTAGTTTTGGAGTAAGAAGCCACCTATGAATGGCAGTTGTTTGGGAGAGAAATTAATAAAATAATAAGTAGTAAATTATATTAAATTTTATAATTAATCTCARTAATTATGTCACCAGTTATGTTTTCCCTTCAATAATACTTAACCAAATTATAAACAAAATTGGATAATTATTAAAAAGAAGTTATCATGACTTACTTGAGAAATGGCATGTTCAATACATCTATGATGGTAAGCTGGTATACCAAGACTCAAACCCAATAAAAAATTACATGTTTGTGAAGGAGTATCAGTAATAATGTATGCACACTTGTAACATGACTTTGGTAATACATTTAAATACCTATGCACAGAACCACCATGTTTATATATTAGGGATTCCAGATACTTTTTATGGATTTTATCTGGTTTAAAATAATGTGAATCTAAAATAAAAATTAACAATTAAGTATATAGTAGAATAATTAAATATACATTATACAACTAATGTATTATTTTAAGTATATACTTACGTTGGTTAATTTCATTATCAGTGCCCTGATCACTGTCATTGGACATTGGTATCCGTTTATATTTAGAATAAGAGACAATGAAGTGTAAGTTCTCAAATAATTTTATGGGTTTAGCAGTTGGAGACACAGCTGCACTACTAACTTTGTCAGGAGACGAATGCTCGCTATCAATGTCTGAGTTTTTTAATTGAGCCAAGTTAACATTGGTCAAATCTTCTCTAACGTGACTAAATGAGAATCGTAATGATAAGATTTAATAAACAAATATTAAATTTAGAAACGTAAGTATTATATTTAAAAAAAATAAGGAATATAATTCCCTATATAATTTTAAAAGTAATTTTTCTTTGTCTTCATCTGATAATAACATATTACACAAATAAGGGGATTAGTGGGGGATAGTTATTTTAGCCATAACATACTTATTTTTTGTCTATTATACTGATTGGCCTAATAATGGGATAATACATGTTAAAACTAATTTTAATTTGTTATTAAATATCATGTCTWCTAGAGATTGACCAGTCCTTTTCCAGAGATCCACTTATCCTAATTTCACCCCCTTGAAACTATAAATTTGGTTTGAATATCCTGAAATTTCAGAATTTTCAAACTTTGATCATACGGGATTTAAATAAAAATAGAAAACTAGTCATTAGCAAGCAATGTTGAGCACCCTAATTTTAATCTTGGGGATGTAAATAATATATTTTTATATTTATGATAAAATAATCATGCAGAGAAAAACATTAAATATTAAACATAAAATATCTTACTCAAAGTCTGAATCTGAAGAACCTGCTTGGAAGTTTCCTTCATCATAATCATCTTCTCCAGTAATTCCTGTGCTAGTACTAGGAATGGACCTGGGATCAGGTACTTCAGGAAATAGGCATTTTCGTTTTCTTTTATTGGTTTCTGGAGCATCTTGTTTAGTTTTCTTACGTTTACTAGATTCATTTTTTGTAGTTTTACATTTTGTACTAGTTGATCGAGATAAACGAAGTCTTTTTCCTTCGGACACATTAGCTAATATAATAAATCAATTAATTATATTAAATTAGATGACAATATTTGAAAACTATTAATACATAATAATGCAATTACATACACATGCTAAGTCTGTGATAATTTTTTAATACTATTTTGTCTTGTAAGTTTCTTGCTTTATCCATATCTAATACTAGTTTTTCAAAAGGAACAACAACTACCTCTGAATTTAAATCTACTGTATATGTTTTTTCACCATTGGGCACTCTGGAAACGATAATGTTTTATGTAAACTTATATGTCACTATTAATTAATAGACCTTATAATGTTGAATTAATTATGTTGTACACACTCATTAATAGTAACAATTTCACCAACTCTATACTCTTGGGAAACAGTATCAAATATTGCAACAAGAGACCCAATTTTAAGAGCTGCACTATGAACAAGACAATCGGAATTTAATAGTTTTATATAGTAGTCAGATAAAAATTCTACTTTAAATTTTGGAAATGCTACATCAATTATAACAGCTGGGTAAAACATTTTATCTGCCATCCAATATGCAAAAATTTTATCACCTATAAAAGAAAAAATACTTAAAACAAAAATACCTAACTATTATTTATATTTTATAATGATCATATATCACAAACCCGTATTAAATTTAATTGGATCATTTGTTGGAGTGTCATCATTGATTTTATTTTCATTATTTGTTTTATTTTCTACATTTGTTGGATTTTCAACAGAAACAATTGGCATATCATAACATTTAGGTTCCTCTATTTTAACATCATTTTCCTCATTTTCAGAATTTTCTTTTGTTTTCTGATATGAAATAAAAATAAAAACAATTACTATGTTTATAATGTTTTGTTTTAAACTTWAACAATGAATGACATRATTACTGAATTATCTACACATTTAATTATGCATTATAATATTATATATATTAAATAAGGTACATACTTTAAAATTTTTTTTTGTACTACTGTCATTATTCTGTTTGGGTCTTTTTTTTTGTCTTGATTTTCCAGCRCTAAAAATAATAAGATATATACTAAAATTCTAAATTTGAACAAACTATAACTTTTTACCGGGTTTTAGTTTGTGGTTCACTTTTGATGTCATTATTGTCCATATTGCTAGTAATATAGTTTTCTGTTACTCGTGGATAAACATGGTCACACTTGTGACAAGCTAAATTTTCTGGATATGTGTATACATTTTTTGACAGTAAAATATTGTTATGTTTAGCTGAAATATATAATACAAAAAACAGTGATAAATAAGACTGAATTTGTAGAAAAATTCATTATAATTGGTTTTCAAAATTTTTTGACTACTAATATTTTTAACAATTTGCAACAAATAACATTTTTTTACAGTTTTTATCTCATAAATATTTTATGCCATCTATATGTATATAACTAATTAATATTTAATTACAAATATTTTACACTTGAGAAAATTTCATATTTTTAAACTGTGTACCTTATGTTTAGTTCCAGTTCATTATTATACTGAATTTCTAGAAATTTCAATACATTTATTAGTGCATTTTCTAAGAGTTTTTAATGTATTAAATTCATAGTGCTTGTTAAGAAAAAATAAAATAAGTATAATCTATGGCCATCAAACATTTTGAACTAATTTAAGTAAACTTTGTGTCAATTAATAAACTTTAATTAAGAGGAAGTCTAACCTGCTTGTGCTTTCTCTGTCTTTACACACCTACGACATAACAAATTTTTCATCAYCAGTTTTATTAGTATGCTATTAGTTTTGATATTAGAGTGAATTTGATTTAATATAYAATTTTAAGGTAATACTATTATCTAGGGCTCTATGTAGGCTTTTATCAATATTATTTTTAAGTAAGTTATGACCTTTATGAAACTGTTCATTTTAAAATGATTATAACTTATAAAAATAATATCAATAAAAKCTTATATGGGAATTTAAATAATAATCTTACCTGTAAACTTTATAATAGACAAAATCACTCTAATTTCAAACCTGACAGCATATTATTGAAACTTGTGAACAAAAATGTACTATTTCGTATGTTTACGTGACATAAACAACACATGCAGGTACATAACTTTTTCTTAAGTATAATTATGATTTTAGAATATTTTTTGTTACTTTTTGTACAATATAAGAATTAAAAAAACTTGTATTATTATACACGTAATTGTATCTAAATGACCCATACTTTAAAAAATGTGTWTTAATTATATTACTTTTTACTATAATATAAATATTGATAGATTTAATAAAAACAACAATAGGTACATTATATTTAGATCCATCACACATTTTAAAATAAAAAGTGATGCAGTTTGAACATTTCTGAAATCAAATTGACATAATCTATTATAATCAAAAAGGATAGATTAGCAGTTATAAYCTTGAAATTAGTTATGCTTACATTTTGATTGCTGTAAAAGTATTCCAGTTGATGAACCACTAAATGATGATGCTGAAGATGACATAAATGAATCTCGTGGAACTTTTGGTACTAAAAATGGTTCTTCAACTAAATGCCCACAACTAAAAATTAAGTTTCAAAAAATGAGTGTGATTACATACTATAAATTTTTAAATAATCATTATTCAATAATTGAATTCTTAAATATTTGCAATAGTAAAAATGTACTGCAATTAATAATCATAATAACAGATCTAATCTGATATATCAATATACCTGATTATAATGTAATTGTATAATTCAAATAAATAACTATATTAGGTTAATACAAATTTATAAACAATTATAGTTACGTTGAGTTTGACGAGCTAGAATGATCAGCAGCATAACCATTAAGAGAAGATATATCGGACTTTATATCAACTTTAATGTTTGAATCAATTTTTGATATCTAAAACACAAAAATAACATGTTGACTATCTAGATAAATTGATTATGAAATATATAATTATTATTTATTATAATATTACAAAATTGAGTTCATAATTTTAAATAGAAAAATGGCAGGAAAATAAAATAACTCAATAGAATGTTCAAATATTACAAGCAGGCACTATTACCCAATAATTTTAGAATAGTTATTAAAGAATCGCTGTCTGAAGCGTTATTATTACTCTAATATCAAAAGAGACACGGATGTTCGGGTTTGTGATGAACACAAAAATGTGATTAGAATTATGACTAGATACCATATTAATTTTTTTTTTTAAACATTTAACTTTATGAAATCAAAAGTGTTCAATGATAAAAGAATCACTCGGAAAGTTATTATTGTACCTAATCATAAATATTTATTTAATCTTTTAGAATTTTACAACATGGTTGTGAGGTATCAAATTATTTAAAACTTGAATAGACAAATACTAAATTAGAAGTATAACATTTCAATGAAAATCAGCTCTTAAGTTCTAATTACTCATCACTAAGCAAAAGAAAATCTATACCTGCAAATAATCAAGCTGTGTTAGAGTTAATGGAATTAAACGCAAACAACAAGTTATTATAACAAAAGTTTCTTCAAATAAATTAAAAAGTTATTACTAACAAAGATTAAGCTAATATTGTTAGATCAGGTAAAAATTGTATATATTAAAGTGATTATTTTAAATCATTGAAAAAATTCAATTTTATAATATTAGTATAACTATAACACAATTCAGTTAGTGGTAAACTAGTTTATTGATTAAATTAAACATTTTATACTAAATTTGTTTTTCTCTTAACAATTATTAAAGATATTCTCAAGTTTTTTTTTTTCATTTTACATATCTCTTGATGTTTGAGTATAGCTACTAATATTTGGATTAGTTTATTTATTTATAGATAAAAATGCCAGTATCAAAAATGTATCCAATATTGTGAAATAGCTTCAAGAAACATACAAAAATGAAGAACTACCTTCATATTATTATTTAAGGGGTTAAATTATATTTGGTTATATTACGTTGTTTTAGCCATATTACCTAATTTAATATTTTAAGTAATAGTTAGATACTGAAACTGTGGAAACTTCCAACTTCTACCTCTAATGCTTCCATTGGTAGTAGGTATGTTTTTTGTATGAAATATGTACCTTTAAATTAATTTAGGTATATCATTAAATAGGTATTTAAAAACATTAAATTACTCACAAAAGTGAAAAAAAAAATGTTTGAGATAAATAAAAGAAATAAAAATATACATTTTAATTCTTCAACTATTAATTTTTTATCAAGCAACTTTTAAATATATCTAGTATCTAAAAAGAGGAATTTGAAATTTCATTTTAGAACGTAGTAAAATAAATACAATTTTGTACTTTTGAGAGATCAAAGTAACTATGGCAAGTAAATGTAATTCATGTAATTTTGGTGTATTATTTCCTCAACTTATACTAGTGTAGGGACATAGTATTGACTACATATTGCAACTTATTATAAGGCCCATATAGGCCATGAATGTATGTCAGAAAAGACTTTCCTGGATATCTTATACTTAACATTGATACAAAAGTCTTTTAAATATAAAATATAAACATAATTAAAATAGATGCAAAATATTTGTAAAACATACCGCAAGCAATTTAGAACTATTTGGTGTTGTCCTACTGATAGATGCAATACAAAATATGTAATCATATTCAGGATATAAATTGCCAACTGATTTTTCCTTATCTTCTGTAAGCTAAAAAAAAAATACAAATTTTAATCTTGACACAAAAAATATATATCAATAAGTACCAGTTTGATGTCTCTATCAGAATCAATTACAGTGCTTTCAGATGTTGAACCATGGACTTCTTTGAAAGGACCGTGTAATACAATTTCAGAATTTGTTTGGAACAATGTAGGAGGTGTAATTATATGAGGATTCCATGATCCTAAAATTTAATCAAAAATATTTCACATACTGGGTAGACAAAGTGAGTTATATTAGTATGATTAACGTTTTCAATAGACACCTACCTAATATAAATGATTAGCAAATATTATAAATGTGTTATAAAAATAATAATTAACTAGTTGACACCAATAATTCCCTGGATTTGATCAGAACTTAAGGCATTATTGAACATAATATGTGACATGTGTACTACACCCAGTTACATATCACTTATTGATATACCAATGTCATTAAGGGAAGTATTTTAATTGTATGTATCTAATTTATATTTAAATATGTATATTGATAGGATGACAGTAGAAGATATGCATAGTATAGTTCTAAAAAATAATTACTTTCAGTGATGTCTGTACCAGTAGATTGGGCAGTAAGATACTGAGAGCTTGTAACTATTTTATCTTTGGAGGGCTGTTGTATATTGGAATGATTGATGTTATTGAATTCACTGGCCGAGTTGACTGACAACTGTTCACAGTTCAATAGTATACAATTACCATTGTTTGTTAGACTCAGTGTCTCGTCGCTGGTCAACGGCAAAGTTACCTTATCGTCTGTTTGTTCAGTCTTGGCCGGGAACGAATGCTCGGTTTTGAGTTCGATTTTGTCATCCATGGCCGTATGATTATTGTCCATCGTTTAACTTATTCACGATAAAACTGGACTGGTCATGAACCAGACGTGTACTGTTGAATGGATTATTGGTTTGCGTTTGTAAAGTCTAATTTCAATGGATTTGTGTCGAAAACCTAAAGCTAACGAACATAGAAATACATACAAAATACAATGATTGAACAATTACAACGCACTCATGCATGGTGCATTTATAAATCTATATAATCAGTAATCACCATTCACCGCCAGAAACTTATCGCCGCGAAATAATCATGATGGCCGATTCACGATTTATTTGGATTTTGGATAACCAATACAAATATTATGTGATTTGATAGTGGATTTGTTAAGGCGGCCATAATCACTAAACAAACATAAATACATAATATTTGAAGTCGGAGGTAGTCTGTAGTTTTTGTTGTTGTTGCCTTCACAGAATTATTTTTATTATATGAAACAGAACAATATGATTATGTGCATTTCTGTTATGTTTACAGCCTGAAATATGGTTTACGGTTATTACCATGGATTTTCATTGGATGTTATCATCAATGTCGTGTTAACAGTTATTGATAAGTAGCGTAGCACGTTTGTTGCTTATTAAATAGACTTTTACTGTAATAGTCGTTTAWATATATAGTTTATATATATTATTTATTTATATATATAGTCATTTGTAATAGTCGTTTTTTTTATAGTCGTTTTCGTTTCCATTTTTGATTAACCGGCCTACCGGCCCCAAACGACAAACACGAACGAACACGTGACTTTTTTTTCAAATGACAGTACTCAATTTTTATTTAAATATTAATTATTAACCGCAATATGTTAGAGGTGGGAATTTCGGGACATTTGATTTTTTTGTGAATCAAATCAGTCTAAAAAAAAAAATAGTATACTGATTGTGAATTATTGATGTCTACAACACGACGTCTTGTCCTAAAATTTCATGGATGAAAAAAAAAGAAGATAACCCAACTTCAAATAAATTAAATTCGAATACTATCGAATAAATCGAAACCATCGAATAGTTCAAATGGGTCGGACTATCGAATAATTCGATACTAACCATCACTAGTCGTTACAGGACCGTAAGAAWAGTTACATCAAATCTACCGAAAGACCTAAAGATCGATATTTGTTTTGATAAATATTTTTAGTACATCATTCGGTCGCGATTCCGGTCACTYAACACTCAACAGATGCGTTCATTTTGAATTTTGATTCATGCAGTCGCGATCATCTTAACTCCACCGCATGTTTTGATTCTGAATTCCCATGTCTTACAACAACAATAGAAACAGCTTTGGCCGCGGAGGTGGAGGCGGCGGTTTTCGAGGAGGTCGAGGTAAATCATATAATATTGTTTTAAGTACCGACATCATATTTTATGTGAATCACATTATAATGTACGATTCCTTAATTTTTAAAATTATCTTGAAAACCGATTTGATGACTTACAAAATTTATAAGATAATTTTACTTGTGTTCAACCTAATATTTGTTTCGAACTAAATATTTTTCCTTAGTATATTTATTTATTATTATTGTTTTTACTTTTCATGTCTATTAYATATGTAACGATCATATAAKGATAAACCATGCTTTTTTAATATTTCAGGTGATGGAGGTGGCCGAGGTGGAGGTGGTAATTTCCGTGGTGGTGGAGGTGGCCGTGGTGGTGGAAGAGGTGGTTTCAATAGATTTGCAGAACAAGGTCCTCCAGAAGAAGTATGAGTTATTTTTCAATTTCATAAATGACATTTTTCATTTCAAAAGTTTTCCCTATTAATAATTACTGGTTAAAATTAATTACTATAATATAATCTATTACTATTAAATCTAGTCTAGACTTAGGATATATTGTGTAACAAGTAAGTTACTGATTATGAGGAGAAATTCTAAACATAATGGCCTACAATAGTACACTAGGTCTGGACGTGGCTTATGAAATAACATGCACATCMATTGATTGGTGCCTATTTATCAAATATAATATATAAATATCTGATCTAACTATTAATCTCAGCCAGAATATAATATGTTTACATAGGGAACTTTATACTTAGCTAATTTTAGAAAGTGATTCTTTTTAGAAATCAAAGAAATAATTTTTGATGGAATTATATCAATCTACTGTCGATTTTTTACCTTTATATTTTGATCTACATTTCTATTGCAATTGATTACCATTTTAATCTTTATGTTGTTTAGTCAAAATTGTTAATTCAGATATTTTATGTATTTTGTGTTTGATGAATTGAATTGTAAACATGGCATAAGCCTAAGACAGCCATACTTAGATTAATTATTAGTAAGAATATTATTGTTTTTTTTCCATATGGTTTCTAAGAAAATTATAATTAATTATTGAAAATGGCAGCTTCTTAGGGGATACTTGTCAATGAATGAGTTGTATACAATGTGCTTTCTTATTTGTAGCTCAGTAACTTATTTATCAGTTTTTTTCATTTTATTTAAACACTCGACTGCCAAGTACTAAATAAATAATTATATGAAAATTGTAATATATTTATTGAGTTATTTATAATGAAAAATCATGATTATCATTTCATTTGTTTTTGTAGGTAGTTCCTCTGGGTTATTTTACTCATGCTTGTCAAGATGATATTATTTGCAAAGCTGAAATGGAAGATGTTCCATACTTTAATGCACCTATATATTTTGCTAATAAACAGCAAATTGGAAAAATTGATGAAATATTTGGAACATACAGCGATTATTTTGTGTCTATAAAGTTAAATTCTGAAATTAAAGCAAAATCTTTCAAAGGAGCCGACAAGGTAAAGATAATTTTATTGTTATTATTGTGTGCAATCATATATTTTCAAGTAATTACAATTGTTTTATATTTTAGTTGTACATAGATCCAGCAAAACTGTTACCATTAAAGAAATTTTTACCTCAACCTGGTGGCCAGAAAGGTAGAGGAGGCGGTGGTGGAAGGGGACGCGGTAGAGGTGGTGGTGGTCGCGGGGGCGGTGGTTTTGGACGTGGTGGCGGTGGAGGTCGTGGAGGTGGTAGTTTTGGTCGTGGAGGCGGTGGTTTTGGCCGTGGAGGCGGTGGAGGGCGAGGATTTGGCGGCGGACGAGGATTTGGTGGCGGCGGAGGAAGAGGAGGAGGACGAGGTTTCAAAAGATGAAAATAATAATTTTAAAATAAATAAATATTAATTATGTTAATACTCATAATTGTTCGTTGACTTAATGTATTTGAACTTAAAGCCAATTTTATTGTACAGGTTTTTTTTTCATGTACTTATACTTAAGCTTTTATTAAAAAAAATATAGATAAAACAAATGTCTATTATTTTTTGATCTTAAACTAACTATTAATTTTTACATGCTACTAAATTTATTAGTTAATAATATGTTAACTAATATTTAGAAGTTAATTTATTTTTAAGTATTTAGACTACAGCTACCCTTCTATAAATAAAGTTAAGGGACCTCGGTATGGCTTTTATTTATGGTGTAAAATGTTGGGAATTTTTAATTTGGTTCTAGCCTCCCGTAATCTATATGTTAGTTGTAAATGATGATAWGTGTGAGTAAAACTSAATGCCAGGTAAACTTTTCAAGTCCGTATTAGCCTGGTCAAATAGTTTAAAGCATTAATGAGTTTTTGCTATGAATAAATGTTAGTAATTTTATACTTTTAAAATTAAATAAAAATCAGCATATTTAGTCTAGAATTAAAAATGTAAAAAAAAAAAATTATATATATATTAATTATGTTGTTT